AGAGCGCTGACAGAGTGATGGGCCACGTTCATTTAAAGAACAAAGCTTCCAACATAACCCCCGCCCAGCATTTTGATTACACGTGGAGACTGCTTTGTGGCTTTCAGTGGAATAAGGGAAAGAAACGTGCAGCAAATTTCAACCTCAGTTTGAGTCCTGTGTCGGAAGGCAGGAAAGGAATGTGGAATTAAAACACAGATTAGTAGTTAAGACCTGGAAAAGTCCTTACGTGACACAGAAGTAGAGGATGCCTGCTCACTGCACACCAAGCACAAAAGAAATCTGCTTTCTATAAAACTAGAAAATACAGCTGATGGGCATTTCTGAGTGTGCCTCTGCCTTTCCCTCTCACTCTTGCGGATTTATTTATTTTCCTTTCACCTTCTCAGCCTCACTTTGGAATAAATCGCCTATTGATCATCTTTTTTTCTTCCAAAAGAACAGATCTGGTTTATGCCAAGGCCTTAATTCCTTAAAGTTTCTTGATATTGGGCCTCCTATGTACTGGGCTTTGCTAGTGGAGAAATTGTCCTTTACCTTCGGATCAGATCAGTAAAAGATAACAAAATGCATCCAAGAGAACCTTTTTTAAAATGCTGCTTGTACTAGCAGCTGACTTTGACCTGAGATAGGAGTTCTTCAACCAATCTTATGGCCAACATTTTATAAATAAATAACCCCTGAACAATTAAGATGGGTTACATGAGATTGCACTTCTGAACACATTTATTTGGTTGCTATAAATATACTTCTCCATGTGTGCGCTGTTTTCTGCGTATTTATGTATTTGCAAATTCTTTCATAATTGCACTATGCATGACTTACAACATGGTTTCTCCAATTCCTTTTCAAGGCAGTAATTATGTTGTAAAACATCCCCAGAGCCAGGCAAAGGCATTTGTTGCTTTAAAAAAAAAAAATTCCTCTGTCTTTACAAAAGCAGTGAATGAGGGTCTGGGAGCAGGGATGGAAAACACAGAAAAGCAGAGATAGGGAAGATGATTAACCAGTGGGACGGAGGTGGGAGCTGCGGGACGAGGGGCTGGGTGTCAGTGCCTGGCAGTCAGCTCTGCCATGCAAGGTCCCAGCTCCTCTTCTGCTTAGTGAACTCCTGGCACCAGCCACACCTGCCTCCGTCCCAGGTCAGCCGCTGAGTTTGAGCTCCCAGCCTTAGTTCCCTTCCCCAGTGTGCAATCTCAGGACCAAGACCTCAGCTTCTACTTCGGATGTTTCCCCAGGGCTTATAATAGGCACTCAGCAACTCACCGTATCTGGCCAGCCAACTCAGTACTTGACTCTTTTCACCCCAAATAGTAGCTAAAATCTCATGGAAGGAGGGGTGAGCCGGTGACTTTCATTCTGTCATCCTGGTGTCAAACATGGCGTTCCCACCCTTTAGACACCAAGAGGTCACTCTGTCCTCATCCATTACTTTTTAAGTTTTGTGATCAACTAAGTGGTACATTGCCCAGAAGATGCTTATTTTCTATAATTCTCGAGAAAAGAATAAGGAAAGTGATGAAGAGGAGTTGGAGTTAGACCAGTCCAGGTCACGTGTTCGCCTGGTGAGCCCTGGTGTCTTACTCCAGCTTTGTCACAGTGTTCAGGTGGCCTGGCCAGCTGATTGCACCCTCTATGCTGGGACTTCCCCCTCCGTAAGAAGAAGGTGTGTACACACACATAGAAACACAGGAGACAGACATATACATAGAGATTCACAGAGACAGACACACAGATACAGTGACCCACACAGACACACAGATATATAGACACACACACACAAGACACACAATGACACATGCAGACATATAACAGACCCACAGACACACACATAGACACAAGAGACACACGTATGCACAGACACACACATAGAGACAAAGACAGATACAGTAGACACACACATACACACAGACACAGACACATGCATAGAGACTCAGAGATAGGTACATGCATACATACACACACACATGAACATATCATAGACATACACACAGACACAGAGACTCACCAAGACGGACACGCAGACACACAGTAGACACACACACAGGCATATACATAGAGACTCTCAGAGCCAGGCACACACACACACACAGACACACATGAGCACACATAGATACACACACAGAGAGACTGAGAGACATGTACATGCATACTCAGACACACATAGACACAGTCATGCACTCACACGGACACACACACACATATAGTGAATTGCTCTGAGGTTTCTAAATCCCTTTGAAAAGCAAGGGCATTGTGGTCAGTGACAGCCATGCCACTTGCATGCATAGCCTCTCAGAGGCCATCTGGGGAGCTGTGCTGTGACTCTCTGAATTAGTGATTTAAAGGCTAGGGCAGTGCCAGCCACAGTGACTCACACCTATAATCCCAGCACTTAGGGAGAGCAAGGTAGGTGAATCACCTGAGGTCAGGAGTTTGAGACCAGCCTGGCCGACAGGTGAAACCCCACCTCTACTAAAAATACAAAAATTAGCTGTGCATGGTGATGGGCACCTGTAATCCCAGCTACTTGGGAGACTTGAAGCTGGAGAATCACTTGAACCTGGGAGGCAGAGGTTGCAACGAGCCAAGATCGCACCACTGCACTCCAGCCTGGGTGACAGAGCAAGAATCTGCCTCAATCAGTCAATCGATCAATCAGTAAAGGCTAGAGCAGAATCATGTAGGTGATTGGAGATACAGGGCCAGCAAAATCCGGCAGCATCCTTCAACAGCACCATCACCCCGAGTTTCCGGGGGCGCAAAGACTGCTGGTGTCACCGGGCTCCAATTCCAGACTCCAGAGCGAGACCACCCAAAGAATGCCACCCATCCCCACAAATGGTAAAGATTTCAGGGAAGCTTGAGTAGGTCTTGCTGTTCTCAGGAATTCTTGTTTATATTCAGTCATTTTTTAAAAAAGAGCTTATTATGGCACCTTTATACTTAAAGATTCCCAGACCATAAAGTAAATATGTATTTAACGTTTTTAATTTTTAAAGTCACATTATTTAATCATAGAATAAAACAATGCCTTTAGAACTGTCCCTATCTACCCCATAATTATATACTTCAGATAAGAGTCTGGTTTACAGCCCAAATCCCCAGAGGATGGAGAGCATGCGTTCAGGGCACACACGCTGAAGCTAACTGTGATAGATCTTGCATTTGTTTTTTCATGAAAATACCGACGCAGTTAGCTAATGTTAATGGAAGCATCATTTTCTGCATACTGTTGGTTTTTCAATTTAATTTCTTTCTTTTTTTTTTTTTTTTTTTTTGAGATGGAGTTTTGCTCTTGTTACCCAGGCTGGAGTGCAATGGCGCGATCTCGGCTCACCGCAACCTCCGCCTCCTGGGTTCAGGCAATTCTCCTGCCTCAGCCTCCTGAGTAGCTGGGATTACAGGCATGCGCCACCATGCCCAGCTAATTTTTTGTATTTTTAGTAGAGACGGGGTTTCACCATGTTGACCAGGATGGTCTCGATCTCTTGACCTCGTGATCCACCCGCCTCGGCCTCCCAAAGTGCTGGGATTACAGGCTTGAGCCACCGCGCCCGGCTTTTAATTTAATTTCTTATTCTCTCTCCCTCCCTTTCACTCTCCCTCCCTGCCTTCCTTTCTTTCTTCTTCTTTTCCTGTCGTCCTACTTCCTCCCCTCCCCTCCCCTCCCTTCCCTTCCCTCTTAGATAAAACTTTCTGGTGATGGGATGTTTGTAGAAAGGGAAGATTCTGTAGTACCCATTTGCTTTTCATTACCGGGGTATAAAAATAAAGGAGTAGTATACAGTAATAAAATATGCATTGTGTTTTGCCCTAGAGCCGTTATTCATGGAAAAATGATAAAACTATCCAGAAAAGGGTTTGAATTAAAATGGGCCAGGTGAGGTAGCTCATGCCTGTAATCCCAGCACTTTGGGACGCTGAGACAGGAGGATCACAGGAGGCCAGGAGCTTGAGATCAGTCTGGGCAGCATAGAGAGACTCCTCCAAAAATAAACAAATAGAAGCTATCCTATATTAATTAAACAAATCAATGCATAAATCCATAGCAAAAGGAGAAAAGGTAATAAAAGAACATAATTTAAGAGACACACAAATTTTTATGCTAAGAGTTCCATATTATCAGTGGTGGATAGTGTCCTTGAATTACCAGATCATGATAAGACGGTGGGGGGAATAATATCAGCCACATGCCATGCTCTTTATTATCCACTTTCAGTATGTCACCTCATGTAATCCTCACAACCACCTAGTGAGGTAGGCATTATTTCCATCCAACAGATCAAGAAATAAGTCAGAGGAGTTAATTAATTTGTCTGAGGCCACACAGGAAATGACAGAGCCCAATGCAAACTGTGGTTACATTGGACTCCATGACACTCCAGTAGATTAGTAGATTTTACGTTTCTTATTTTCTGATGGTATTAAAGGTTAGGGTCCAAGAGACAGATAAGAAATAAGCAAATGTGGAGAAGGCAAACATACGTCGTAACTTACCATGGTATTTCAGGACTAGGCAATCAAAATGATATTAAAAATTAAACGTGCTCTTTCTCTTAATTGTACAACTAGGTTGTGGCTGCATTCCCTCCTCTCCCTTCTTTCCCTTTGAGCTATGGGCTGTCACCCCTTTGGCATATAATTTATTGAAGTAGGATGCAGATGCCCTTCTAAAATAATCAACAATCCAACCAACGTATGAAATTCCAAGAGTTATAACTCATTTAATTATAAAGTGACTTTTCTCGGGTTAAGCTCTACCTGTAGCTTACCCAACGCGTAATAAAACAGCAAGACCATTTATAGGAAGTAACCCATCATGGGGAGAAAGACAGGATAGGTTGACTTTACCTCCTTTTCCCTGCATTCCTCCAAATCTTGGATGTTGATATGAAATTCATCAGATAAGTATTCTTTACAGCCGTTTCAATCCCAGCCTAAACTTGGGAGGCTTCCAAAGAAAATGCCTGGGTTTTTACAAATTGCCCACGGAAATAGCAATTTCTCCAATGCTGCTACAGAATGGGACTTTTTGCTTGACTGTGTGGAAACTCGTGGGTTCTCCAAGTCGTAAAGAGTTAAGAACATAGATGGAATGTCTGGGGAATGTTGGCAGGGAAGGCTGCAGCTCTCTGCTCTTAGCTTTCTTACCCTGGAGGGGATCCCGGCACTCGGTGATGCTTCTGGGTCTGAGGTCTTCCCTAAGTTCCGTTTGATCTGCTGAAAAGCCAGCCTCAGTCCACTGAGAAACAAGGATGTGCCGTTATCCAAGCACTGAAGTTTATTTTTACCTTGTCCCTGGTGAGTCCCCAGAGACAGGGAGAAAACATTTTAGGAGGGAGTTAGGAGCCTTTTGCTTATCCTTGAAGGAAAGCAGTCTCTGAGGATTAGTGAGGGTGGTGAGGGTAGGTAGGGGGAGGAGAGCCAGAGGAATCAGAGTTATTTGGACAGCATTTTTTCCTTGCCTGATTAAATCTCACTGACATTGGCACTTTGTGTCACTAAAAGAACACAGCTCTGGATGTGGGGCCAGGGACCAGAGGGGTGGCAGCAGATTCTGGGGCTGGCATGGCCGCTGGGCTGCTTAGCTCTGAGGACCTGCCGTGGAGCTGGAACCTGACTTGCCGGGCGCTGAGGACCTGCCAAGCGGGGAACCTTCGAGTTCTGCAGCTGATGCTAAAACCATGGTGCATCTCCAGGGCCGTCTATCAGGTGGGACCGGAAGCTCCTGGTACATTTCTTTGCAGCATGGGAAAGTGGTGGTGAATGTTGGGAAATGGGGCTTGAGCTGCTGTCACATGTGTTCGGGACTCTGAAGCATGTTACCTGCGGCAGTTCACATGAACAGAGCCTCCTCTTCCAAGTGCCATGCGTGCCATACGGTGCAATGCGTACAGAGCACAGGAAACCCAATTTAATTCGGCTTTCAAAGCCACCAGATCGAGGAAGTGCCTATGTTACCATTTTGATTATTATTGTCACCATTTTGAGATGAGATTATTGAAACTCAGAGAGGAATGTAAGTTGCTCAAAGTCAGCCAGACAGAGCCTGATGATTTCAACCAAAGTTTTCCTGACTGCAAAGGCAGAGAATGTTTTTTCCATGAGTCTATGCTCTTCTCACAATGGATGATTTATCAAGCTCTGCAAACATGCAGTGTGTGCATGTGCATGCATGTGTGTGCATGCGAGTATGTATGTGTATGTGTGTGTGTGCATGTGAGTATGTATGTGTACATGTGGGGGGGTATTATGTATGTGTGTGTGCATGTGAGTGTGTATGTGTACATGTGGGGGGTATTACGTATGTGTGTGTGTGCATGCGAGTGTATATGTGTGCATGTATGGGGGTATTATGTGTGTGTGTGCATGCGAGTGTGTATGTGTGTGTGTGCATGTATGTGTGCATGTTTATGTGTGGGTATTATGTATGCGTGTGTGTGCATGTGTGCATGCATGTGTATATGAGTGTGCCCATGTGTGTGCACCTGTGTGTTGGGGTGGTGACAAGCTGGTAAGGGGACTGTGGCGTGTGGGACAGGAGGCAAAGCGGGAAGATCCCCAGGCACCAGTACTGAACCTCCTTTCCTTTACATAGTGGCCTCTGGATTCAGACACACCCCTCTCAACCCAAATATGAGAAAAAGAGAGAGATGTTCCTGCAGGAGAGTGGCACTTCTGAGTCAGTTAACTGGGGGTGCGGAGCACTTCAAAAAGGGCAGACAAGTATGTCTGCCTTGTCCAGTTTGGTGGCATTAAGACACATCCCTGCTGGCCACGGAGACTTCCGTCCTGACATCCCCAGCCCTGCCTGAGAGGATCCAGATTGTGGGAGGAGTGGGGGGTGCAGGCAGCATGGCAGGTGAAAGATCGTCCCTTGGCCTGGCTCTTGAGGGGGTGTCGCTTGTTTTTCCTCCCTTTTACGGGGGTTTGTAACCCAGTTTATTTCATTAAGCCGACTTGAGTGGTTTGGCCCTCTCTCTGTGAGCTAGCTCGTGACAATACTTGGAACCCAGCATGCGCAGCTGGCCTTTGTATATTTAGGTGCAATTTGGTGGCCTATAATCCCTTAATAAAATGCACTGGCTAAACAACTAGGGACTGTGTAGCCACCCATCCCCCCCCCCTTCACCCCTCCTCCTGGAATGTCTGGACTTTGAGGAAAGAGAGTCTCCTTGGAAGATGTGCATAAGGGTTTCGCATTGATTTCACAGACGGGCACAGCTCCCCAGGACCCTTCCTCCTGCTTCTTCACCTGCCCCAGGGCAGGCAGGGGGAAGACCCCTTACACAGCTTCTGAAGACTTTTCTAGAATTCCTGTGCTTGAAGGGCACGTATCTAAAAGCTTTACTTTAAACAGCAAGTATGTCTGTCACATATCATATATAAGAAAGTTTCAGAGAAATCCTTCCAAATTTGACAAGCATCTGAAAAATTTACATAAGATTTCCCATGACAAGTTGTGAATCTGAAAGACTCCTGGGGGGAAAAAAAATCCCCAGCTGGGAGATTCAAGCAGTAATATGGCTGGTTTGTCCATTTGAAGCTTTTCTGAAACCCGTGATTTACACTCAAAAGTCCCTGAGCTGGGTATTTGGGGTTAATTACTTAGTCATGACGATTCTGTTCTTCCAGTGATTACAAATGAGTTTTGAAGCGGTGGTTCCTGGCCTCTACCTCTCACTTTCTTTTCATCTCCTTTCTTTTTTGGGGGTGGGGGGTGGAACAGGGTCTTGCTCTGTCACCCAGGCTGGAGTGCAGTGCTGCAGTCATGACTCATTCCAGTCTCAACCTCCCTGGGCTCAGGTGATCCTCTCATCTCAGCCTCCTAAGTAGCTAGGACCACTCCACTATGCCCAGCTAATTAAAATTTTTTTGTAGAGAGAGGGATCTCACTATGTTGGCCGGGCTAGTTTTGAACTCCTGTCCTCCAGCGATCCTCCTGTCTTGGCCTCCCAAAATGCCAGGATTACAGGTGCCAGCTACCACACCTGGCACTGTTTGTCTTATAAATCTACTAAGCAGGGTGGGCTAGCCCTGCTCAGGGGCCTTTTTCAGGATTAACACCACTGAAGAGAGTGCTGAATGACAGGCCACCAGGCCTGGAAAAAGAATACATTCCTGCTCCAGCATGACTCCGTTCAAGCCCGCAGACAGGTCCTGAGCAGTAGTTATGTGCCTGGCCCTGTTGTGGGCTGTTGGGACTCAAAAGCTAACCACACCTCATGCTTGTCTGTGGTCTCTGGCCAAGCCAGGCCCATGGGGGCATATATGTCCAACCCAGGCAGCTGGAAGGTAATCCCCACAGGTGGGCCTGGAAGGCAGTCGGGATGGCAAGTTTGAACCAATTCACCAATGTGGGAAGCTCGGTGAACAAGAACAGGTTAGCAGCCTACAGAGCCAGGTCGAGGGGGCTGGGAAAAGAAGAAGCAGCCGGAGCGAGGCAGCTGGGCCGGGCCGGGGTGGTCTGCAGGAGTTCCAAGATTTCCAGCCCATGGACAGCGTTTCCCTGCTCCAGCACTCCTTCCTACTGCCGGGCAGGACTGTTTTAAAGGCACATCTGCAGTAATACATGGGCCCTCTCCCACTCTTCATCGCCTCACAGGAAAGAGCCAAAAACAAAGGCTATTCCCTTTGCTTTCTCCGTTACAGAATGGGGCTAACAGCTTCGTAGCGGTGTGGTGATTAAGTAAGTGATGGATGTGAAAGTGTCTGTGTCACGAAGACTGGAAAACAATACAAGTGTGAAATGTTGTTTTTGTTGAAATGTTGTATTTTTGCTTTTTTTAATATCTCATGAAAGACTCATTGAGAGTATATTTATTTGTTAGTGATATGGTGATTAATGGCCATTTTCATGTATTTTGTTTAAGCTATATTTTTCGTACATCTGGGGAACTCTTTTTTTTGAGACGGAGTCACTCAGTCATCCAGGCTGGAGTGCAGTGGCAAAATGTCGGCTCACTGCAACCTCTGCCCCAGGTTCCAGTGATTCTCCTGCCTCAGCCTCCTGAGTAGCTGGGATTACAGGCGGGTGCCACCATGCCCAGCTAATTTTTGTGTTTTTAGTAGAGACCGGGTTTCACCATTTTGGTCAAGCTGGTCTTGAACTCTTGACCTCGTGATCAGCCACCTAGGCCTCCCAACGTGCTGGGATTACAAGTGTGAGCCACTGCACCCAGCCGGAACTTTTTTAAAAACACCCATACTCAGTCCTGACTCTCAGTGGTTGTGATTTAGTTGTACTGAGGCTTAGGTGTTGCAATGGTGCAAAGGTTTTTTATTCTAACGTGCAGTCCAGCTGGAGCCACTGAGCTGAAGGGGCCTCATTCTGCACATAGTAAAAGACAGCATCAGAATCACTGGGGGCGGGGGGCGAGCGCTCTAAATATGTATAAAATGTCATAACCCCCCCGCCCTTAGACTTAATAAGATCATTTGAGGATAGGGCCTGGTGATCTGTAATCTTTCTGGAAATCTACCTCTTAGACAAATGATCTGTATTCTTTTTGTTTTTTTGTTTTTGAGACAGGGTCTTGCTCTGTCACCCAGGCTGAAGTGCAGTGGTGTAGTCATGGCTCGCTGCAGCCTCGACCTCCCAGGCGCTAGGGATCTTCTACCTCAGCCTCCCAAGTAGTTGGGACCAGGCATGCACCACCATGCCCAGCTAATTTTTGCATTTTTTGTAGAGTTGGGTTTTTCCCATGTTGTTCAAACTGGTCTCAAACTCCTGAGCTTAAGCCATCTACCTACCACATTCTCCCAAAGTGCTGGGATTACAGCTGTGGGCTACTGCGCTCGGCCTATGCAGTCTGTATCCTTAAGATGTGATTCCTGATATTAGCAGGAACCAATAACACAGGACAAAAGTAGCACGTGGCACCTCACAAATGAGGTCGTGGCAATGATTTGTCGAGATGACCCTGAGGATTGACTCAGCTCATTCAAGTTAAGCCCACGGCTTGGCACATCCGAGGCATCCAATCCAGCTTAGCTGGACGTTGTTTTGTTTTGTTTTGTTTTCTTATTTCCATAGGTGATTGGGGAACAGGTGGTGTTTGGTTACATGAGTAAGTTCTTCAGCAGTGAGTTGTGAGATTTTGGTGCAACCATCACCCAGGCAGTATACACTGCACCCGATGTGTAGTCTTTTATCCTTCACCCCCTTCCCACCCTTTCCTCGGGTCCCCAAAGGCCATTGTATCATTCTTATACTTTTGCATCCTCATAGCTTAGCTTCCACTTATAAGTGAGAACATGCAATGTTTGGTTTTCCATTCCCAAGTTACTTCACTTAGAATAGTAAGTCTCCAACCTCATTGAGGTGGCTGTGAATGCCATTCATTCATTCTTTTTATGGCTAATTAATATTCCATCGTATGTCTATACCATGGTTTCTTTATCCACTCATTGATTGATGGGCATTTGGGTTGATTTCACATTTTTGCAATTGCAAATTGTGCTACTATAAACATGCCTGTGCAAGTTTTTTGTTTTTTTGTTTTTTTGTTTTTTTTGTATAATGACTTCTCCTTTTTTTGTTTTGTTTTGTTTTGTTTTGAGACAGAGTCTCGCTTTCTTGCCAGGCTGGAGTTCAGTGGCACGATCTCGGCTCACTGCAACCTCTGCCTCCCGGGTTCAAGCAGCTCTCCTGCCTCAGCCTCCCTGGTAGCTGGGACTACAGGTTTGCCCACCACGCCCAGCTAATTTTT